CTGTGTCCCCAAGTCTGTGTCGGTGTCAACTCTGTACAGAAAAATGAAAATCTGCCTCTATAACAACCAGAGTTGGTACAGAGTCTGTACAGAATTGGCTCAGAATTTTCCTACAGGAAGCTCATTTCTCATATTCGGATATCTGAAATCCCTTAAACTTTAAATGGATTGTTCCAATTCATAGCAGGGCAAAACCATTACACAATTTTTGAAGGTTTTCACTATCCTTCATGTACTGACTCCAGCAAACCTTAGTCTGCAATTTTCATGTAATTTTGTTGTAAAAAAGGATTAAGTGCTTTGGAGTGATCCACCCTTTTTTCAAGATATTTATAAGAGTTAAGTTGTGCATCAAACATACTGTAAGAATTTAGTGTGTGTGACTTTTCACTTTGACTTGGTATAGAGTAATATCACAACAAATCTCCCTATAAGCAGACGCAAAGTGGTGCTGCTTGATTCTTTTTTTTCTTCTTTTCTCTCCATCATTCTCAGGGAACAATTCCAATAATTAATCAAATCAACCAATGTAATCAACTAAATTACTAATTATACAATTGCCAATCAAAGAAATTGAGAAATCATTGAGAGGAGATACTCTTCTCCCTGCACACATACACTTAGTAATATCTTCTAATTGAGCCTAGATTTAGCAATCAACATATTGCAAAATCAATACAATTGTACTATTAAAAGTTGTTTTGTAATTTTCTGTTATCTTTAAAGACAACATTAATGTTCCCAAAGGTTTGAGAATTAAATCGTTAATGCATGGTCCTCCAAAATACCCTCCCCTGACAAGTTATACATATACTACTAACATTGCTTGATTTAACTGAAATATACAGTTTTTATAGAGAATTTAATTTACCAAAACTTTTTTTCTAATTTATCATTTGTGTATGTATGTAGTCTATGTTTAATGACAATGACTGTTATCATTTCATGATTTGTGTATTTGCGCAAATATTTTAAGAACAAAAACCTGAATAAATGAATTGTGAGTATGTTACACTTTTAACAAAAAAAAAAACAACAAAAAAACTGACATGCAGTAAAGACTGTAACATATTTACTTGGCGAATCAATACAACATCTGTTTATGATGGTAAAAAACGAGAAAATAATATACTTCATATCAAATTAGCAAGGAAAGTGTTCCGAGTGTTTCGAATAATTATTGTGAAGAATAAGTGTTCTTTAATTATTGTGAAAATTATGAGCCTATTAACTGTTCTATTAAGGAATGGGGGAATTTAATAACTTCATATATCAAATCCTATCTTAAAAAATATGTTACAATTTTATTTTAATTCAAGGGCTATAACTACTGAAATACCAGGCACAACAAAAAACATCACTGTGGTAATTAACATCTACAAAACATTCAATAAAAAAAATTTCAATGACACAAGTTTAAAGTTTGTAGCTTCTGCTAATTACAGAGAATGCCAAGCCATTTTTGCAAGAGAAAAATGAGACTGATGCAGCAAACAGAATTTAATTCTTTTCCACAGATAAACAAAACAAGAGGGCCATGATGGCCCTAAGGTCGCTCATCTGTATGTAGGCCCCCGGAGCGGGGCCAGTTTAAACCCCAGGGCTTTTATTTGAACAAACTTGGAAGACACCTATAAGAAGATGTTTCATGATGTACACACTTATAATGAAAAACAATGATCTGCCCTCCACTACCCCTGGCAGGGCCAATTTTAACCAAGGGCTTTTATTTGAACAAACTTGGTAGACACCCATAAGAAGATGTTTCATGCTAAACATCTAAGCTGTAGCTCATTGTGTTTTTTTAAAGAAGATTTTTAAAGTTTTTACTATACACATATAGTTAAAAACAATGACACCCCTGGGGCGGGGCCAGTTTTGACCCTAGGGCTTTTATTTGAACAAACTTTGTAGACACTTACTAGAGCATGTTTCATGCTAAATGTCTTAGCTCTAGCTCTTTGAGTTCTTAAAAAGAAGATTTTTTAAGTTTTTACCATATACATATAGGGAAAATCAATGACACCCTGGGGCGGGGCCAATTTTGACCCTAGGGCTTTTATTTGAACAAACTTGGTAGACACCCATTAGAACATGTTTCATGCTAAATATCTTAGCTCTAGCTCCATGAGTTCTTTAAAAGAAGATTTTTAAATTTTTACTATATGCATATAGGGAAAATCAATGACTCCCTGGGGCAGGGCCAATTTTGACCCCAGGGCTTTTATTTGAACAAACTTGGTAGACACTCATTAGAAGATGTTTCATGCTAAATATCTTAGCTCTAGCTCTTTGGGTTCTTTAAAAAAAGATTTTTTAAGTTTTTACTATATGCATATAGGGAAAATCAATGACACCCTGGGGCGGGGCCAATTTTGACCCCAGGGCTTTTATTTGAACAATCTTGGTAGACACTCACTAGAAGATGTTTCATGCCAAATATCTAAGCTCTAGCTCTTTGGGTTCTTTAAAAGGAGATTTTTTAAGTTTTTACTATATGCATATAGGGAAAATCAATGACCCCCTGGGGCGGGGCCAATTTTGACCCCAGGGCTTTTATTTGAACAAACTTGGTAGACACTCATTAGAAGATGTTTCATGCTAAATATCTTAGCTCTAGCTCTTTGGGTTCTTTAAAAGAAGATTTTTTAAGTTTTTACTATATGCATATAGGGAAAATCAATGACCCCCTGGGGCAGGGCCAATTTTGACCCCAGGGCTTTTATTTGAACAAACTTGGTAGACACCCATTAGAACATGTTTCATGCTAAATATCTTAGCTCTAGCTCCATGAGTTCTTTAAAAGAAGATTTTTAAATTTTTACTATATGCATATAGGGAAAATCAATGACTCCCTGGGGCGGGGCCAATTTTGACCCCAGGGCTTTTATTTGAACAAACTTGGTAGACACTCATTAGAACATGTTTCATGCTAAATATCTTAGCTCTAGCTCTTTGGGTTCTTTAAAAAAAGATTTTTTAAGTTTTTACTATATGCATATAGGGAAAATCAATGACACCCTGGGGCGGGGCCAATTTTGACCCCAGGGCTTTTATTTGAACAATCTTAGTAGACACTCACTAGAAGATGTTTCATGCCAAATATCTAAGCTCTAGCTCTTTGGGTTCTTTAAAAGAAGATTTTTTAAGTTTTTACTATATGCATATAGGGAAAATCAATGACCCCCTGGGGCGGGGCCAATTTTGACCCCAGGGCTTTTATTTGAACAAACTTGGTAGACACTCACTAGAAGATGTTTCATGCCAAATATCTAAGCTCTAGCTCTTAGGGCTTTTTAAAAGAAGATATTTAAAGTTTTTTCTTTTGGTTGCCATGGCAACCAGAGTTCTGCATGGAATTAAATTCTTTGAACAATTTTTAAAGGTGACCACCAAAGGAACATTCCTGTGAAGTTTGGATGAAATTGGCTTAGTGGTTTATGAGGAGATGTCATTTAAAGTAAAAGTTTACGGACGGACGCCGGACGGACGCCGGACGAAAAGCGATCACAAAAGCTCACCCTGTCACTTTGTGACAGGTGAGCTAAAAAAATGCTTTTGATTCTTTCCACATAAAAAAAACAAAACAACATGCTTTTGATTCTTAAATTCCACAGAAAAAAAACCAAAAGACCCTGCTCTTGATTATGTTCCACAGAAAAACAAAACAACCTGCTTTTGATTCTTTTCCACAGAAAAACAAAACAACTTGCTTTAAATTGTTTTCCACAGAAAAAACAAAACAACCTGCTCTTGATTCTTTTCCACAGAAAAAACAAAGCAATCTGCTCTTGATTCTTTTCCACAGAAAATACAAAACAACCTGCTCTTGATTCTTTTCCACAGAAAAAACAAAACAACCTGCTTTTATTTTTTTAACTAAACTAATTCTAACTATTCACAAGTACCAGCAACACATCTTGTCATGATATAAGGTTTGATATGTCATGTTATTCCTCTGATGTAATATACTTGATTACATGTAAAAAACGTTCAAAACAATATGTAAGACATTTTAATAGCATTTCAGGTGTTTTACCAGCATTTCAGTTATTCTAGTCAGTATTTTCATCATTTTAATAGTATTTCAGACATTTTAATTGTATTTTTGTCATTTTTACAGTATTTCAGACATTTTAATTGTATTTTCATCATTTTACAGTATTTCAGACATTTTGAATCATATTTATTATGTGAACAAACAAATTAATGAAGTGAACAAGTCCCCCAACAAGAACCCAACTAATACTGTGAGCAAACAAAATCATGATGTGAACAAGCCCTTTCATTGTGTGACTTTACTGCACAAAGAATTATATGACTATAAAAGAAAACAAAATTATCATTTTTATACTATATTGAAGATAAAATTTCAATCACACAACTTTTTTTTCAACTTCTCACTGAACTGTCTAATCTCCTCTGGCTTAAAAATAATTATCTTAGTTGGTCACAAGAAAGAAAACTGCTTATATTTACATGTAGTTCAAAGGGAGAGAACCAAATCAGAAAATTCTCTGAATCATTTCAAGGGAGAAAACCTTAATGAAAATTTGAACCTCCCTCAAAGGGAGGCAACAACGTAAAATAAAAGCGAGTCAAACACTTGGGCGGATTAAGAATTTTCTGCTTGGGTGAGTGCAATTAATCTCAGTCAGGGTCCTACAGGGATGTTGTTCCCTTGCCAGGAGTTTGGGAGGCTTTGCCAAAAATAGCCTTGAAATGCTCTCTTGTTAATTTTGCATAAATTGTATAAAATCAAACATATTATGTCATGCATAAAATAAACTACAAAAAATACCCCTTAACAAACTTACTAACTTAATTAAGGTTTTTTTGGCATACTGGCATATTGTACATTGACATGTAAACAAATACGCTATTGTAGAATAAGAATTTTAAAGAAGTCACTGTGTTCTCACAATAGTCTTTCATGAAATCTGGCACATCAGATTCTTGCTAGCAAAAAAAATATAAAAGAAAAGAAAGTAGGAACTTACTGATTTTTCTCCACTGCTAACACAAGCCAGGTACAACCAAATAAGTGAGGAAACCAGCTCTAGGGAAAATCTTTGCAGTTCTTTTTCACTGGATCTGTAAAACTCAAATAACTGATGACACACTGGGTCAAGAATCTAAAATAAAATGGAAGGACAATTATAAAACAGGTATCATAAAGTACAGTGCATAAATGAGTTGAACAAGTCACCAACGCAGAGCAAATTTAATCCTTACAGCACTAAACATTTTTTTCATAATTCCTTTCAATATTATAATTTACTTTACATGAACAATAAAAAAATCAAGTGATCCAGAGGAAATTTCTTAAAATATCTGCCGGAAATTAGCTAAAACGTTCAGTTTATAAAAGAGAGTGGAGCAGTCTTTTTATATTAAAGGCAGATTTATATTTCATGGCAAACATTTTCAAGTATCAAATGACAACTATAGGTCAATCACCATTAGAACAGTCAATCTTTTGAAATATATAGTCAATTCAATTAACTATGAAAATCTGAGCATAATGTCCATCTTTCAATCCATTAATCATTTCTATAGTAAAAATTTCAAAATAATTTCTAACTGAATAGCAAACAGTGCATACCATGTTTAGACAGCACAGAGATATGTACAGGAATCTAATGGTATCTAAAATTTTGGCATATTATTAAAGTAATTTGTGAAAAACCTATATTCTGTCCTAGTTCACTCAAATGATAAAGCGAAGCATGCAGTTTTAGAAATATGAGTAGTCATATTTAGCAGAAAGAGCTAAAGGCCAGTTAAAGACAAATTGAAGAATACCATTTACTTTCTACTTCAGACACATGGAATGTTTGTAGAGAAATTGGTACTAGTATAACATTTTCAGCAGGCTTTTCTCCTGCTAATAAATATTTATTCCCTCACATCTGCGCAATTTTCCCGTAAAGAAAAACCTGTTCAAACTGAATCTTTCGTTCTTGCCGTTGTTCTAAAGAACAAAATTATGTTCCTTTTCTTCTGCAGCTAAGCTTGTTAACAGCAAAATAACATAGTTTTTTTATTCACTTCCTCTTTTAGAGTAAGTAACATATTATTTTCCCATTCATGAGGAGATCCGCAAAATACGGAAAAAAATCCTTGTGGCTTAAAACTTCAAATTTTTTACCTCCGGTTCTGGGCGTTCTTCAAACAGTGAATTCAGACTAGATATCAACTCTCCATTGTGACAGATGGATGCAGCGTAACTATGGAGCTCTTCTTTAGACAGCACCTGGAGGTAAAAATAGTACATACATAATAGTCCTTCCAAATAATGAAACAGAATGATCATGGCTATCGTTTTGGAATATTGGCATGCCTTACTTAATAATTTACTGTAATTCAATACAAATACAAAATGAATATTATAAATATTTAACATTCCTTTGTTGTAGAAAACTTATATTTATATGGAAAATCAAAAAAAAATACATGTAATTAAAGATTGCTTTAATAATATCTTTAAAAACCTTGCCATACGTTAATTGTAAAGATAATCTGTCTCACATTTAGGCATGTTTTTACCCTATGTCTTTTTATTTTTGGATTGCGTTTATTTAAGGTCGCCGCCGGAAAGCCCATATGGGCGGCCGTACACTCAAATCCTAGAGCGTCCCGCCGAGCTTTTTTCTTCGATTTTTTCCAGCTTTATTGGTGGAGGAAGACCCCAGGTGCCCCTCCAGGCATTATTTCAGGCACGAGCAGGCACCTGGGTAGAACCACCGACCTTCCGTAAGCCAGCTGGATGGCTTCCTCACATGAAAGATTTCGACCCGAGTGAGCATCGAACCTACAGCGGTGAGGGACCTGTGATCTCAAGTCAGCGACCTTAACCACTCGGCCACGGAGGCCCCACCCTATGTCCAGGCTACCAATCTTTATTTAAATATTAACTAATGTGCCATTATTAGCTGACCAATCAGAAAATGGCATTCAATCCATAGGTTGGATATTTGCATACAGTGTCTATAATTCATTTTGATTAATAATTTAACTAAATATACAAATTCAGTTATTCTCCAGGATACATTCTTTTCCTTTTTTTAAATTTAATTAATTTAAGGTTTACAGTGTAACCTTTGCAAAGCAAACATCTTTGGAAGGCAAGTTTTGATTGTTGCTCTATTCTTTAGTATTCTTCAACATATGTTCTTTTTTTATTAACTAAAATATACAAAGTCATGTATTCACCAGCATATTGTTTTTTAATTTAATCAACTTATGGTTTACAGTATAACCTATACAGAGCAAACACCTTTGAAGGTAAGAGTTTTGACTTCAGCAAATTTTCTTTTTTTTCTCCTTCCTTTTTTTTCAAATTTTATCAGCTTAATTTTTACAGTGAACCTTTGGAGGCAAGAGTTTTAATTGTTGCTGAGTTTTGCAGCATGATTTTCTTTTTCTTTTCAATTTAATCAACTTATGGTTTAAAGTATAACCTGTGCATAGCAAACACCTTTGGGAGGCGTGAGTTTTAATTGTTGCTGGGTTGTTCTGGAGAGCCTCATAGGTTAAATTCAGTTCTTAATCTCAATTTGAGAATATTAAATTTTGGTTGCTATAAAGAGGTGATTGCTCTACAGAGGGTGGCTATTCAGAGGTTATACTGTATTTTTTAATATAATGAATACCTTGTACTCCGCCAACCACTCCCTGATTACTTTTGATGTCATCATTGTTTTCCATTAATTAAACCCCCTGAAAAAAAAAATCAACACAATAATTATTACATTGTTAAACAATTATTATGTTGAAATAATTATTTTGTTGTTGATGTTGTTTTTGTTTTTATAAAATAAAGCAGTAGCTATTATTCAGAATAAAAAAAAGATAATATTATCCTAGACAGGAGCATTAACTGTATTTAGTGTTTGAAATTATTTTTTGCCCAAAAGGATGGCAGTATTTCAAATGAATAGTAACATGTTTACTTTGGTAAATAGGCAAACTGCTAATCGGTCTAGTAAATTGACTGTTTATGAAAATAATTTAAAACACTAAGCCGGTTAAAGTTTATTAGTACATATTAACAAAATCAGTGGTCGCGCAGCTTAATGCCGCGTCTGACATATTTAATTTTGTAAATACATACTCCGCGCCTGACCAATTTAATTTTGTAAATACGTACTAATAAACTTTAACCTATACTTAGTAAGAACATTGTTTCAAGCTTGTGTTTAATATCACATGAAAAGCGTTCAAGTCTTTTAACTTGGGGATTTTCAATTCACTGAGTTATCTTTATTTCATTTTGCATATTTTTTACTTTTTTAAGTGCACCAGTTGATAAGAATTTCCAAATTTATGCTAAAAATTGAGAAAAAAATATTTGACAACAATTTTAAATAATGTTAATTGAAAATGAAAAACAAAGGTTCAAATACAAATTATCAAAACAGATAGTCAAGTCTTTAGAGCATCATACTTATAGTTTTTACAAGACCATGACTAACAATCATTCATTGAGTGTCAATTAATATATAGAGGATATTTGTTTGTTTGTGTGTAAGATGAAATTTTATTTCATCGAGTGGGCTTTAAAAACAGTATTCTCACGAGTGGCGAAGCCACGAGTGAGAATACTGTTTTTAAAGTTCACGAGATGAAATAAAATTACATCTTACACAACAAACAGACAAATTTTCTTTTTATTTTATGCTTAAAAACAAGTTAAAACGAAATTTCCATAATTTTAACGTTAATATTAAAACTGTTTCCCCCATTGAGAGCCCCATTTATTCGGAATTTCTCATTAAAAAAAAGAGGTCTTGAGCTGAAAAATAAGTCCGCCAATCAACATTAAATGACGGTGATATTTATTAATTTTATTAAAAAAATATGAATGATCGCTTGTTTTGATAATAAAAACAAACAATTCTTGTAGGAGAAAAGGTCCAACCATCCATCCATATTTCTGTTACTTAGTGCGAATTTATATTAGACCTGGCTTTGTAAATTGTAAGCGGCAGCCATTTTTTAAAGTTGTGTATTTCATGGGAGGAAAATAATTGTGTAAGATTCAGAGGGATATAATTTGGATTTGTTAGTCATACACAATTTTCAAAGAAAGAAAACTTATTTGAGGATTGAAACAGACAAAAAATAAGTGTTGACAGATGTGAAAACATTCAGAAAAGGAGCTAGGAAAATGGAAAACTTGGAAACCTGCTCAAGAACGCTGGGTTGATTTAACTTATTCTTCGAGTTATGGCTGTCAATGCTTTCAATTTTTCATAAAGCATACGGCAGTTATTGCTCGTAGGATACTTTAATATGCCCACATGTCATCAAGAGCAGTTTTGCATGGGGAAGGAATGTATTTTTGAGACTGTCAAAATGAAACAAAAAAACGAAATTTGGTGATTGGAATTTCATGAATTTGAATGAATAGAAGTAAGTTTTCTTCTTTTTATTACTTTTGACATTTAAGTTATTAATCAATTTCAGTTTTGCTTTTTCTTTAAACAGCCTGACATTGTCAGAATTGTCAGCAAAAATAAAATTGAGGTACCACATGGGGAAAATCTTAAAAAAGTAGTTTCGTCATTGAAAAGAGTGAAATTATATTTTGATAATTTTCACTGTGAAATTACCAAATATAATTTTCACGGATAAATCAGTAATCCACTGAAAAGCATAAAATAAACCACCATATTACTTTCATACAGGTTTTTTTTTTTTTGGCAGCATTCTAATAATGTTTATAATTTAAACAATGATTTTTGCAGCAAATATAATAGCTTTATATACTTTAACCTAGTTTCAATCTATTTCTGGTATAATAAAATTATTCCAGATTAAAGCTAAACACTTTGTGTGGCTAGCTTACATACAAACCACTGTCTATTAATTTTCCCGTGCATATTAAAATAGCCACACTCTAAGTTTGTTAATTACTGTACATCATATGTTAATCATTTGTACATATTTCGTGGTAAAATATGTTGTAATCGCTACAATGAAACAAAAGCAATTTGTGATCATGTGTTGCCAGACGATAGCCAATTAAGCATGCAGTTGTATTCAGAGGGGTGATTGACCAGTTTGTTCCCTAAGTATCACGGCTATTTCGTAGCATGTTGTTGCTACTGGTTGTAGCAGGAGACACAACAAGAGCTGTCCGTAAGACAGCGCGCTCGACTTTTTTATTGCTTGCCAATAAAAAAAGTTTTTGCAGTAAAAGGCAATACAAGAATCTCTGTATTTTTAAAGTGAACAATGGCCATGAGCATTAAGATATTTAGTGAAGAATTATTTTACTGAATTGTGTGATACCCTTACAGCAATGTTTATATGACATAATTTATGGTAAAGTGAACAAGTGGATAGGAATGAATTTTTTTAGATTTTTTAAGTTTTTTAGTGCTTGCCTATAATACAAAACATTGACAGTTAAGGGCCATAATTCAAATAAAATCTTTGACAGAATTACCTTCTCCTGGACATGTTTGGGAATCATGATTGTAAACAAGTATTCCAACTTTCAAATTAATATCTCAAACAGTTCAGTCAAAAAGTGGACTGGTACTAAAAACTTAACCAAGATTCTAAGTCGATAAAAGGCCTTAATTTTTAAAACAAATCCTTGACAGAGTTACCTTCTCTTGCGTACAGATGGGGGTAATGATGTGAAATAGCATTAAAAGTTTCAAAGCAATATCTCAAAAGGTTAAGGCAATAAGTGGATTTTACCCATATTCAATGTATTTTCTAAGTCAAAAAGGGGCATAATTCTGTCAAAAACCTTGACAGAGTTATGTCCTCTTGTCTGTTGATGAAGGTCGTGATGGTAAACAAGTATGGTCAGTTTCAAAGCAATACCTCCAATGGTTTTGAAATAAAGTGAGGTGGTACAAAAAACTTAACCAAGCTCAATACACTTTCTAAGTCAACAAGAGCTGTCCGTAAGACAGCGCGCTCGACTTTTTTATTGCTTGCCAATAAAAAAAGTTTTTGCAGTAAAAGGCAATACAAGAATCTCTGTATTTTTAAAGTGAACAATGGCCATGAGCATTAAGATATTTAGTGAAGAATTATTTTACTGAATTGTGTGATACCCTTGAACACTGCAGCAAAGTTTGAAATGTTTAAGTCAAAAGAGGGCTGGTAAGAAAGAAAAAAAAACTGAGTTGAGCCTTAAATAAATTTAATAGTATTATACTACTGATTTTAATTTCAAGTACAAAAAGAGAAAAATAACTAGTTGTTTGATACCCTTGAATATTACAGCAATGTTTATATGACATAATTTATGGTAAAGTGAACAAGTGGATAGGAATGAATTTTTTTAGATTTTTAAGTTTTTTAGTGCTTGCCTATAATACAAAACATTGACAGTTAAGGGCCATAATTCAAATAAAATCTTTGACAGAATTACCTTCTCCTGGACATGTTTGGGAATCATGATTGTAAACAAGTATTCCAACTTTCAAATTAATATCTCAAACAGTTCAGTCAAAAAGTGGACTGGTACTAAAAACTTAACCAAGATTCTAAGTCGATAAAAGGCCTTAATTTTTAAAACAAATCCTTGACAGAGTTACCTTCTCTTGCGTACAGATGGGGGTAATGATGTGAAATAGCATTAAAAGTTTCAAAAGCAATATCTCAAAGGGTTAAGGCAATAAGTGGATTTTACCCATATTCAATGTATTTTCTAAGTCAAAAAGGGGCATAATTCTGTCAAAAACCTTGACAGAGTTATGTCCTCTTGTCTGTTGATGAAGGTCGTGATGGTAAACAAGTATGGTCAGTTTCAAAGCAATACCTCCAATGGTTTTGAAATAAAGTGAGGTGGTACAAAAAACTTAACCAAGCTCAATACACTTTCTAAGTCAAAAAGGGCCATAATTCTGTCAAAAACCTTGACAGAGTTATGTACTCTTGTCTGTAGATGGAGGTTATGATGGTGAACAAGTATGGTAAGTTTCAAAGCCATATTTGTAATACTTCTGAAATAAAGTGGGGTGGTACGAAAAACTTAACCAAGGTGTGACGCCAACGCCGACGCCGACGCCGGGGCGAGTAGGATAGCTCCCCTTTTCATAGAAAAGTCGAGCTAAAAAAGGGCCATAATTCTGTCAAAAACCTTGACAGAGTTATGTACTCTTGTCTGTAGATGGAGGTTATGATGGTGAACAAGTATGGTAAGTTTCAAAGCCATACTTGTAATACTTCTGAAATAAAGTGGGGTGGTACGAAAAACTTAACCAAGGTGTGACGCCAACGCCGACGCCGGGGCGAGTAGGATAGCTCCCCTTTTCATAGAAAAGTCGAGCTAAAAATCATTAAAAAAAACAAAATGCTTTTTTTTCAGGGGCCATAACTCAGCTAAAAATCATTAAAATGAAAAACCCATTTATAAAGTGCAAGTCTACTTGAGGTATCAATCAATCCTGTAAAGTTTCACTCAAATTGCATATATAAGTATAAGAAAAGTAGTCTGGACAAAACTTTAAAACACAAAAACAATTAAAGGGCCATAACTCTGATAAAAATCAATTAACTGGAAAACGCTGACAATATGCACAACTAAACTTGGTACTGATCATTCCAGTAAAGATTGGATGAAATTACACCAGTAGTTTTGGAGGAGTAGTCTCGATACGTTTTATGATGGACAAATGAGGGAGAAGTGATCCCTTTACACTGTCGCTGCTGTCGACACAAAATAAAAAATAGTATAATATACTTGTAAA